AAAACATAGGGTTTCGTGCATCTGTTATCTCTCAAAAACGCATTTCGTGCGAGACTTCCTTCAAAACTCCATCGGCAACTCCTCCACCAGCACCACTTGCAATCCCATTTACAGTGAGGGAACGATCCTAGAGTTGCAAATCACAATTGAATTCCATCGGCAACTCATCCACCAGCACCACTTGCAACCCCATTTACAATGCGGGAACGATCCTACAGTTGCAAATCACAATGGAATTCTGTCGACCACACATGCACGAAAAACAGTTGAAACCCCCATTTACAATGCGGAACCGATCCGACCATGATCCGAGCATATCCGACCATGATCCGACCACACACGAGACCGTCTCGCACCCGTCGCACCGCAGAGGTAGATCATCGAGGTTCGGGGACGCACTTTGTCTGGAAAAACATAGGGTTTCGTGCATCTGCTATCTCTCAAAAACGCATTTCGTGCGAGACTTCCTTCAAAACTCCATCGGCAACTCATCCACCAGCACCACTTGCAATCCCATTTGCATTGCGGGAACAATCAATGCCCTAACTAACTCTTTCTGTGACTAACCCTTTCCCTGACGAACTCTTTCCTTGATTAACTCTTTCTTTGACTACCTCGTATATCCTGACTAACTCTTTCTTTGACTACCTTTTTCCCTGACTAACTGTTTCTTTGACTAACTCTTTCCCTGACTAACTCTTTCTTTGACTAACTCTTTCTTTGACGAACTCTTTCTTTGACTAACTTTTTCCCTGACTAACTCTTTCTTTGACTAACTCTTTCCCTGACTAACTCTTTCTTTGACTAACTCTTTCCCTGGCTAACTGTTCTTTGACTAACTCTTTCTTTGACTAACTCTTTCTTTGACTAACTTTTTCCCTGACTAACTGTTTCTTTGACTAACTCTTTCCCTGACTAACTCTTTCTTTGACTAACTCTTTCCCTGGCTAACTGTTCTTTGACTAACTCTTTCTTTGACTAACTCTTTCCCTGACTAACTGTTTCTTTGACTAACTCTTTCCCTGACTAACTGTTTCTTTGACTAACTCTTTCTTTGACTAACTCTTTCTTTGACTAACTCTTTCTTTGACATTCTAAAAGTCCGTAACACGGAAGTTTCTCCCACTAAACTTCCTTTGATCATATGTATATTAGTTTTATAAACTCTGTATGATATCCACGGTTGTGTACCCTTTTGCATAATAGTATGTTAAGGGTATTGCGTGCGTCGGCAGGTGTGGAGGTTTTGTGTGGCAGGTTGGTTGCCTCTGTCCTAGTTAAATAAGGGTGCCCTCCGTTGAGGTACGAAAAAGGATGGTGCATCTCCCTGTAAGGGATAAAACTGTCTTTATTTGTTTTCACAGTGCCACCCTAGGCACGGAAGCGAAAATCAGAACCCCACACTGACGTTCTTCCTGGTGTCAACAAACAAACTGTTGAACTCCGTTTTGGAAACAATTTTTATACCTTTGATTGACCTGCTCTTGAATCTCCAAAGAGAAACATGTCAATCTTCATACAGTTTACTCAGAATGTCTCCTTCAGTCGTAGACGGTGTCTTGTTAAATTCTGGAATCTATATTCTTAACATCCATACGATGCTAAAATAAACAACACATAATCTTGTGTCCTAAAAGAACCTGAACAAACAAACGCATGTTTGTGACCCTGTTTCAATCTTGGACATTTTTCTATCTCATTCCGTGCAGCTCTGGCTGGGCGGGTTGGAGGGTTTAGAAATTTTTTCTAGCCCCATGCTGCGTGAGAGTCGGGGGTAGCAATGGACGTACAGTTGGACTGCGAAAGAGCCAGTTCTTCTGATGCTCAACTGGAAGACTCGGAAGGGTCCAACCCTCGAAGCAGTGTGGCACCTTTTGAAGCCAGAGCCCAAAGCGACATGCTCTCCAGAATGCATCCTGTACTTTTTGATGCTTGGTTACGTTTGCAGAGATCCATGGTTTCATCACCTTCAAGAACGCCTTTGGTTGACATTTTGTCACCCTCTTGGATCAAGACTGACAAATGGCTTGTTCCAGTAACAGTTATGCCGCAGGACGCTGATGGTGCTTTGAAAGCTGCTGGATTGGCTACGAAGATGGCAGCCGACCGACTGAGACACACTCAGCTGGTTAAAACTGATGATCACGTGCACTGGGAAGCAATGAAGAAGTTCAAGGCGCTGCTCCTAGGTGATCCAGCCGCTACAAAGCTTGGACGTTACCTTGCAGCAGGTGTCAGCCTTTTGACAGATGAGGCTGGCTGGTCTCAGTTTATCAACGATGCGTTTGCCGGGATAGAGGTGGCCACTCTTGCTAAAAGGGCCACCACCCTATGGAGGTTCCACAACTGGAGCATTGACAATGGCTTGGGACCTGCGGTTTGCGCAACAGAGAGTGTCATTTACAGATACTTGCAATTTTTGAAGGAATGTGGATCCCCTGCAACAGGTTCGTCTTTCCTCCAAGCCTGGACTTTCCTGCATGACCACGTGGGTCTTTTGAGTCAGGGCTTGGACGTGTTGTCTTCAAGAGTGAGGGGAGCGGCACAGGCCCTGTGTCTGCAAAAGAAGCCCCTCAAGCAGGCATACCCACTGACGGTGCTGATGATTGTAGCCTTGGAAAACATGACCAACCTTGCGCCCTATGACCATTGGCGCATCATTGCAGAACATATGATGTTGTGCTTGGGCAGCCGCACCAGGTTCAGGGACTCCATGAGGTTGGTTTCATTGAGTGCCAACAGCCACAATGGTTTCCAGATAGTAGAGGCTGAGTCCATGTCTTGCAGGGCAGCGAAACAAGACAGGCAGGATAAGCTTTTGCCTCTGATTGGGCTTGGATTTTTTTTGCCAAGACGCCGTGGGTAGAGCCATGGATGGACTTGAGAGTAAAACAAGGTCTTGGCCTGGATCCGGCGTTGCCAGCCTGGAGTGAAATCTCGCAATCGTGGTTGAAAAGATGTATGACTACAGGTGAGGCACAGCTGTTCCTAAAGGAGTTCATGGCATCATCAGGTTTCAAAGAGGATGAGTTGGAAAGGATCGGGTGCCAATCCTTGGAACACACCCTTCCTTTGTGGGCCTTCGAAGGGGCCTACTTGTCAGAACAATGCAATCCTTTGGTGAGCCGCCACAAGTCCAAGGAGAACCAGTCGGATCCTATGTACTCCAGGGGTGAAACGGTGCGTGTCACTGCTATCATGCATCAGATGGTCAGAGACGTGAAGAACAAGCACTTCAAGCCAGATGCTTCCAGAGCTGGATCCATTGCAGACCAAGTTAAACTTACAAATTCAGAGTGTCAGCAAACCGATTCGAGCGATGACGAAGCTCGCCAAGAGGACGTGGAGAGCACTCCATGCAATATGGGCCCAAGGGCATCTTGGGATGCTCTGCCGTTGGACGAGCTAAGAAGGCTAAAGGTCCATACCTTTTCTGGGGTTGCCCACATCGTTGCGAAGCACGACCCCCACAAGTTTGTGTGTGGAAAGAGAAACACAAAAAACTATGGACGCATCCCAGAGGACTCGAACTATGCCGACATGCCAATGTGCATGCAGTGCAGCCGGTGAGATGTGCGAAATATGCCAGCGCAGCGAAAGTGAGAAGGCCTTAAAGCACTCAAATTTCCTGTGTTTTTTGACCATGCAACCATAGCATGACATGGCCCACCAGAGCGGCACATCAAGCGGGTTTACCACCGCCAACAGTGCATGGCTCAAGCAAGGGTTGAGTGAAAAAAGGGCCATTTCCAACTCCAAGTCAAAATAAAATGTTACAACAGGATCCATCATGTTAATGCTCACTGCCCTTTTTGTTTCCACATATGTTTTCTGATTAACCATTCTTTAAAAAACTGAAGGGCTTGCAAACCGACACCAGTGAGTTCCCGTTTTTCGAATTGCATGCGTTTTTGACAAATGGCGCCTTTCTGGTGTGAGCTCTGAAATTATGAAATATTTGGGCTGGAAACAGTTTTTCCTCTTAGCAAAGCGCTGCAGTGCAGTCAATGTGGACTGGGCAGAGTACCGCGCCGAGTCAACTTGTAGCACAAACAGGACCACTTCATCAGAGAAATGGTCAAGCTCAAAAGACTGACAGTCCTTCCTTCAAAGCGCGAGGCGTCCCGAGTTAAAAAAGAGGTGTGCCGCTGGGAAAACACAAGCCCACCTTGAATCAGCATGTTGCACATCAGAAAACAAGACATAAGGCTCGGCATGACTCCATTAGGCGGAACCAGGACCTCTGAATCCTGGCATCTGGAACCATCACCACGCCATCTTTGCGGAGTGCATGTCATGCCAGGCTCAAGCAAAAACACAACAAGAGCAGCTGTGATGAGTCATGCGTGAGTCACGCAATCTAAAGAAGGAATCAACAAAGCTTTCAACTACAAAATATGATTTTCAAAATTTTTCTTGAAATCACATCTATACTAAATCATGAAGGGTAAAATTTGGGTGCAGAAAAAACTTCGTCTATTTAGATTCGCTGACTGCCATACCCATGTCAACAGGATTAGAGTCAGAGGCAGCATTCAGGGCGAGGGCCACTGAGATTGGTTTGCCAGATGACGCTATAGACCGTTTGAAAGATGGTGGAGTGAGAAGCTTTGGGGCATATGCCTTCATCACAAGCTACCAGCCGGGTCAAGCAGATGAAGCCCCGCTGATCACCGCCTTGACAGACACCATGGGCCGTGCGCCAACAAATGCAGAGACCATTGCCTTGAGAAGGTGGTTTTTCGAATCTTCCACCTTAGCTGTGAATGAGTTCAAGCAACGTTCAGAAAGAGACGAGACGGCCGAACCATCCAAAATGCCGATAGCAGAACGCAATGCCAGACTGGAGGATCAGAAAAAGAGGCTGCCAGGCCTGCACTTTAGCCCAGAGACCGAGCCCAGTCACAAATTGGTGGACACTGTATGCCAGATGGCCACTGACCAAACCCTGGAATGGACGCCATGGGAAAAGCTCACCAGCAGGAGCAGCGAGATTACCCATAGCCAAAAAGACCTGAAGTTCTCTTTGGACAGCCAAGGGTCAGTGAAAGTTGCAGCAAAAATGCAAAGCCCTGACGCCAATGTTACGGGTGAAATGAGAGTCAGACAGGCTCTCAACCGTAGAGCTCGAGCTTTCGACCTTGCCCAGTTGTGTGCATACACCATAATGGAAGCATGGCATGAACGCATCTTTGAGGTCCTACAAAAGGAGCCTGCTCCAAATGCAATGGGAGTCACAATGCACCAGTTAAAAGAAGCCGACAAGATGCTTTTCAGGAAGCTTGCTGAGAAGACCCGAGGAACCCTAGCACAGCAGTCAGATGGGTCAAAGCCAATTGAGACCCAGTTTGAGGCATGCGCCAACAATGCAGAAGTACAGTTTTGCCTCATTCCAATGGTAAAAGGGGCACCGAGAGCAAATGCAGTTGAAAATCCTTCCCCAAAGCCAAAGGGGAAGGGTAAAGGCAATGGAAAAGGAAAGAAGGATTACAACAAACCTTCCTATGGAGTGGGCACGCAGCAGTTGCCGCCAAATTGCCATCAAATGACACCACAAGGAAAGCCCATTTGCAATACCTTCAACAGAGGGGCCTGCGATTTCGCAAAGCCAGGGAAGAGGTGCAAACGTGGATTCCATGTGTGCTGGCAGTGCTTCAAACCGAAGCCTTTTTCCACGTGTGACCACTCATGACAAACAGCTCCCCATTTTGGGGACAATGTGGAGCAGCCACCAGTGAAACGAGCCAAGTCCGAGCATAAGACTCCGCCTCTCATGCATGACACGTTACCAATTTTTCCAGAAGAATCAAGCACCAACAGAGCGCTTTTTTGCGAAGTTTTTGCAGGCTGTGGACGGCTAAGCCGTGCCGCCAAACAATCCGGTTTTGCAATTTTGCCAGTTGATGGACCGCGCAATGAACACAAGGTTGAGTGTCCAGTTTTGACGTTAGACTTGGTACGTACGGAGGAGCAGCAGTGTCTTCTTGACACCTTGCGACAGCTGAAGCCACAAGCAATCCATGTAGCCTTGCCATGTGGTACAGGAAGCAGAGCCAGAGAGCGGCCTGTGCCGGCTCACCTAGTAGCAAAAGGGGCACCACAGCCTCGGCCATTGCGAAATGCATCCCATCCTCTTGGCATGCCTGGGCTGACATACCACGAACAAAAGAGGGTGGAAAGTGCCAACAAACTTGCAAAATTTGCCATTGACCTGTTTGTCCTGGCCGTCACCTTGTCGTGTGTTTTCAGCTTGGAAAATCCCAGTAACTCATGGATGTGGAATGTTCTTTTTGTGTATGTGCAACAACTGAACGATGAGCGTTTTTTACAGGCCTGGTTAAACATGTTTGCTGTCCAGTTTAGCAACTGTGCCCATGGTGGAGAACGTCCAAAACAGACCACATGGAGAAGCACCCACGACGTTTACAACCACCTGGCCAAGCCTTGCCCGGGGGACCACGAGCATAAACCCTACCAGGTTACCAAATCCTTTGGCACCTGGACCTTCGACACAGCAGTCGAAAGTGAGTACCCGTGGTTACTGTGCAGCCGTCTTTGCCAAGCTCTCCATGAAAAATTCTCCAAAAGTTTCAACCTTTCGCCCCCGAAAAAACCCACTCTTGGTCACACTCAAAATAAACATCAAAAGACCTTAATCCCTGAATACCGTTGCATTACCAATCAAAAACCACAGTCACCTAGTGAATTCAAAGTCCTTACTCCACAAACAGGGGGTAACAGCGGGGAGGAACAAAAAGGAAAAGAGGGAAACAAGTATGGCATTTACCATACGCCGGAGCAATTCATAGAAAGGGCCATGGCCTTGACTCATCCTTTCGACGACAAGTTTGCAGTAGAGGACCTGACCAGGTCCAACCTTTTCGAATTGCTCACAAAGGGTAGAAGCCATGTTGCTGCCCAGCGGTTAGACTGTGCAAAGAAGTTGGCATGCTGGTCGAAAGAACTTGTGACTGAGGAAGCTAGATACCTGGCAACTCTTCCCCAGCATGCCCAAAAAGTGCTAAAAGGAAAGAAACTGCTACTCTTCCAAAAGTTGTTAGCAGAGTCTGGCTGCCCTGATTTGGGGCCAAGCGATATCATGACAGGACTGGACTTGGTTGGAACGGCCGCAAAGTCGCCTTTCTTTGACACGAAGCTTGTGCCAGCTACAACAACCCCACAGTTTTTGCAGATGTCAGCGAAGTGGCAGAGACCGAAGATGGAGGCCAGGAATGTACATGCTGATGACCCCGAGATGTCCCGCCTTCTTTGGGACACTACTTTGCAAGAGGTAGAATCAGGGTTTCTGGAAGGCCCTTTTGAGTCCATGCAAGCTCTCAGAGAGTATGTTGGATCGGACCAGGTGGTGGTCAGCCGCCGTTTTGTCATAATCCAGTCAGGGAAGCCAAGGATTATTGATGACCTGCGCGAGTCTGGCGTGAACAAAGCGTACACAGCTGTCGATGCACTGGCCTTACACGATGTTGATTATGTGGCTTCGCTTGCGCACTTTGTGACAACCACGGTTCGACATGCAATGGACGACCCTGGCCGTCTGGTGAAGGTGCCGCTGAAGACAGGTGAATGGATGGTGGGAAAGTTGCACCCGGACTTCCATGGCGAAGTGGAATGGCGAGGAAGATGTGTGGATTTGTCAAAAGCCTACAAGCAAATCCCGGTCAGCCTTGAGTCCAGACCTTTTGCTGTTTTGATGGTTCACCATTACGGCACAGGCAGGCCAGTGTACTTCGTCAGCAACAGCCTTCCCTTCGGAGCCAGTTCCAGCGTTTTTGGATTCAACCGAGTTTCCAGGAGCCTCTGGCACATAGGAAGCGTGTTTTGCAAACTCCTTGGCGGGGTCTTCTTTGACGACTTTCCTCTGTTGGAGCCGCAACCCCTGTGTGCCTTGGCTGCCAAGTCCTTTGAAGGCCTGCTGAAAGCCCTGGGGTGGAAATTTTCGGATGACCCAAATAAGACTCATCCTTTCGAGACTGAGTTTGACGTCCTGGGTATACGCCTGAGCATAGCTGCTTTGCATGGAGGTCCCTTCGTGATGCAGAACAAACCGAGCCGAGTTGAGAAAATTCAGAAGCTCCTGGAAGACACTGCTGCGCTTGAACGAGTCGACAAAAGGCAAGCACAAGTGGTACATGGAAACCTGAATTTTGCTCTTAGTTTCTTCCTAGGGAGGTCACTTTTGGTTTCAGCCCGTGCGTTTGCCCATTTGACCACCGAAGGTCATAAGGCATCTCCAGAGCAGATTAAGCAGCTGTGTGCTTGGACCCATGCAATGGTGGGAACGTTGAAGCCAAAAACTTTGGACCCTGAAGGGATAGTGGAACCAGTGTTAGTGTTCACAGATGCAGCCTACGAAAATGGTGTTGCCACATGGGGAATTGTAGTGTTAGACCAGGTAACCAACTTAAGGACTGCACTTGGGGGCAACATACCCTCTTCCCTAGTAGATGCATGGCACAACCTCGGGAGTGACCAGGTGATCACCTTAGCTGAAGCTTTTGCAGTTCTCCTTGCACGGGTTGTCTTCCGGAAAACCTTGACTAAACGCCGAGCCCTGTTTTTCGTGGACAATGAGGGTGCCAGGTATTCCTTGATAAAGGGAGTGAGCCCAACGCTTGCGCTGCTGCAGATTGTGCAGCTCTTCCACTCCTGCTCCGAGGAGGACCAATGCCTGCAGTGGATAGAAAGAGTGCCTTCAACCTCAAATATAGCCGACCTTCCAAGCAGAGGCCAGACGGAACTTGCCCTCAGAATGATCAGTGGTACTGCTTGGAATGAAGCTGTTGATGTTGAAACGGTTGCTAACTTATGTAGAGACTTCAAACAAATGCCGACTCTCCTTAAGAATGGCATTCAGCATGCAAACAGCATTCCTCTCGAGATGCAACAGCATGACGACTTCACGGGGGAATGAACGGGTCATGCTATGCCTTGCAAGCAACCGGCAACCTCAGTCGGCAACGATGCAAAAAACCTTGGCGTGTCCGTTTTTTTCGAAAACAGAAGCTCAACAAGAGCTTTCCATGACCCCCGACCACTCAATTAAAGAATGCGCAAAAAGGAAACCATATATCAAAGAGAATTGGTCAAGTCGGAAAATCATTATGAATTATAAGAGGCTCTATAGCCTTTTTTATTTATACATATAGTACATGTATAAAATTTAATGCGTACTTATAATTACGCTATTCCTTTTTTAATACATTTTGTAAAAGAACCTTTTTCCAACACTCGGAAGTTGACGCTTCTGAAAACTTCTAAAGACGGTGCATCTCCCTGTAAGGGATAAAACTGTCTTTATTTGTTTTCACAGTGCCACCCTAGGCACGGAAGCGAAAATCAGAACCCCACACTGACGTTCTTCCTGGTGTCAACAAACAAACTGTTGAACTCCGTTTTGGAAACAATTTTTATACCTTTGATTGACCTGCTCTTGAATCTCCAAAGAGAAACATGTCAATCTTCATACAGTTTACTCAGAATGTCTCCTTCAGTCGTAGACGGTGTCTTGTTAAATTCTGGAATCTATATTCTTAACATCCATACGATGCTAAAATAAACAACACATAATCTTGTGTCCTAAAAGAACCTGAACAAACAAACGCATGTTTGTGACCCTGTTTCAATCTTGGACATTTTTCTATCTCATTCCGTGCAGCTCTGGCTGGGCGGGTTGGAGGGTTTAGAATTTTTTTCTAGCCCCATGCTGCGTGACCCACCCAAATTTTTCCCACCCACGCAAAAGGGGGGAATGAACGGGTCATGCTATGCCTTGCAAGCAACCGACAACCTCAGTCGGCAACGATGCAAAAAACCTTGGCGTGTCCGTTTTTTTCGAAAACAGAAGCTCAACAAGAGCTTTCCATGACCCCCGACCACTCAATTAAAGAATGCGCAAAAAGGAAACCATATATCAAAGAGAATTGGTCAAGTCGGAAAATCATTATGAATTATAAGAGGCTCTATAGCCTTTTTTATTTATACATATAGTACATGTATAAAATTTAATGCGTACTTATAATTACGCTATTCCTTTTTTAATACATTTTGTAAAAGAACCTTTTTCCAACACTCGGAAGTTGACGCTTCTGAAAACTTCTAAAGACAAACCTTTATTTAACATGGACTTCTGTTTCTACTTTGGAACTTTGGTTACAAAGAGAAACGGCAACCCGTAACCTGCCCCCTAATTATTGTAACAAAACCTTCTGATTGCCATGCTCCTTTTTTTAAACAGAACAGTGAGAAACTGTTGCCTCAATCGACAAGGAACTGTTTGTAAAACAAACAAAACAACGTGGGTTGCAAAACAGTTGCAACAACTTGATACCAACTACAAACAGGTTGTGACTGAATCTTTGTTTGTGGTTGCCTTTTTGGTTTCAAGTTGGTTGGGTGCGTGTTTTGCCAACGGTGGGCAAAATTTCGACCCTCCCCGCGTTGCTCCCCCCCAATTTCACAACCATCACACGAAGAGGATCACATCCATTCGTGCTATTTTCAACAAAGAGGATCACATCCATTCGTTTTTTTAGCCTACCCCTACCGTCCGAGGACGGGGTAATGCGACAACAGCCCCGTGGTGTGAAAATGAAGGAGTCCGATTCACATGCCAGCTTGCTTGATTTTTTGTTTTGATTTTCAGTGATGTGACGTTCGGTTGCTGTGTTGTTTCGTGGTTTTGTCGGGCATTGATGTTTTTGGCGATTCGACGATGGCGTATGGCGATGCGTATTGATATCATATGTATATTAGTTTTATAAACTCTGTATGATATCCACGGTTGTGTACCCTTTTGCATAATAGTATGTTAAGGGTATTGCGTGCGTCGGCAGGTGTGGAGGTTTTGTGTGGCAGGTTGGTTGCCTCTGTACTAGTTAAATAATTTGATTCTCCATGCAGCAGCATCCTTCGGTGGGGGGAAGGAGAAGTCAAATCACAGAGGTACTAAGAGAGTTTCTACAGCCCCTTTACCAGCTGCGAAGGCCTTGAAATCACAAGCTGGGCAAGTGCACAACTCGCCTCATGAGGTGCACTTGGTACAGGACTCTGATGAGGAGGAGACCACACAGTGTGATGGTACCGCTGCCACAGTTGAAACAACAGGCGGTGGGGGCAGTACAGTACAGGCAGATACAACCACTGGCACTTCACATGTTTCTGGCGATTCATCAGGTTTTGCATCAACCACCGGCATTTCACAGGTTTCTGGTGAGTCACCAGGTTTTGATATGAGGGCCTGCTTGAATGCTGGGGCACCTATACAGGTTGAATGGGATGGTGCTACACGTGGCTTCATCGATGGGTTTGGGCTCTGCAGTCCAACGAGATGGAAGCCGAGACAACGGGGAGTGCATAGGACCCCAGCGATGGTCCAACTTGCTGCTGACACTTTTGACATCCTTGCAGAATGTGTTGATGAGTGCATTGCAGATGTACGTAAGGAATCATTTCGATTGGTAACTGGCAAGATTCAGCAATCACCTTTTGGAGAAGAAGCTTTGAGGAAGTTGAGGGAGAAATGGGCAAATCTACTACGTGATCCTGCTGAGGCAAAGGTAGCGGATTCTGGCCAGCCTTTCTACTTGAGAGCTCTGGCACAATGGTTGGGCGTCTATGAGGACCCAGATGCACATTGGCTGGTTGACGAGTCAGATTCTTTTGCTTCTGGGGTTTACATTGGAGTGGATCAGCCATTGCCGAGATCACCACAAGTTTTTCCGGAGAAAGACAAACACCGCAAACTGGATGACACTGAATTTTCTCCCATTGCAGATAATTATCCGTCGGCACAGATTTCTGCAGTAGAGCTTGAGAAGAAGTTCAGAGAAGAGGAAGCCCTAGGGCGCATGCATCCCTCGAAATTGGGAGTACTCAAACAGGAGTTTGGTGACAAGCTTCGGGTGGCTTCGATGGCTGCGATTTCAAAGCCTGATGGGTCAGTCAGGCCATTGCATGACGCCACTCATTCTGTCATGGTTAATCACGAGATAAAGTACCAGGACAAGATCATTTGCCCCGGCCCATCTGAGATTGCTGGAGTGGTCAGGGAGTCGACAGACACTGGTGAGGCACCGTTTTGTGTCAGCGCTGACATCAAGGCGGCGCGCAGATTAGTCAAGGTGCGTCCCAGCGATTGGGGATATCTTTGCTGCAGGGCCGACTCTTCATCGGATGTGGTGTGGGTCAACCGCACCGGGACGTTTGGAGTGTCCAGCGCACCATATTGGTGGTCGAAGTTGGCGGGCTTGATTGGACGTTTTGTCGGTTACATTTTTCATGACAGATGGTTCATGCAGATGATTTACGTTGATGACCTACATGGATCATTCGTTGGGACCAACAAATTCAGGTTTTGATGGATATGGATCCTCGCTTACGAGATGGTTGGCACTCCATTTGGGTATCACAAGTTCAAGGGCGGATTCAGCTCAGAGTTTGTGGGTTTCCATATCAGGTATGACCTTGCTGAGGTTGGGATTTCAAAAAGGCGTGGTGACTGGTTGGTTGACTGGATTATGAAGGCAGCATCCAACAGATATGTGGTGCCTTCTCGTGACTTTGTTGAGTTTCTTGGAAGACTTGGGTGTGTGGCCCAACTCATCACTTGGCTGAAGCCACATCTTTCACCTTTGTTCGCTTGGGCGTCAGTCACCTCAAGGAGCACGGTTGGGAAGCTGCCTGAGACGGTCATTTTGACCTTGCAGTACATTCTGCGTGAGCTCCAGTCGGAGACATACATGGTGTCAACACGGCGGCCTGACAGCTTCGAAGGAGACCAGTTCAGGACTGATGCAAAGTGTGCTGATGGGTACATTGTTTTGGCAGGCTGGGAGATCGGATCCCGACGTTGGTTCTCTTTCAGGTTGACACCCGACGAGGCTCCTTTCTTGTTCAAGGAATCAGGGCAGTCACAATGGTCTTCGACCTCTTCAGAGTTGCTGGCCACCTTTGCTGCCCTTGGTGCTTTTGGATGGTTGACGGCAGACAGACACCGGAAGTCTCTCACCATTGCTTTTTGTGGAGGAACTGACAACAAGGCGAATGAGTCATTGACAATTAAACGGGCCACGACGAAGTGGCCGTTGATGGCCATCAATATGCAGCTCTCCTCTGCCCTTTCCAAGTCCAGGCTCTCCCTTCGCCTTAAGTGGCGTCCACGGGAGGAGAACACGGAAGCAGATGACCTCACCAATGAGAGGTTCTCCGAGTTTGACCCTTCAAAGCGGGTTAACATTACTTGGAAGGATTTAGATGTGTCCATTTTACAAGCACTGGTTCAGACGAGGGAGGAGTTTGAGAAGAAGAAACAGGAAGCTAAGGAGGCGTCTGACGGGCGTCAACCTAGAGGAAAGAAGTTTGACAAGTCGCCTTGGTGAATTCTTGGGGACCTGGCGATGGGTGCTTGCATTCAATCTCCTAAAGTGGGGGTACAACAGATTCAATGCAATTTTTCCTGGAAGGACAGCAGTCCTATGCTTTTGTGCTTGGCAGCTTTCTCAATGTTGATGGATGGAAAACGGCCGCAGGGCCTTTGGGTGCAAATGCACCGCTTGTTGCGACGAATTTGCTGTGGTGGCGTGAGACAGCACCACCTGGAGTCAAAAAGACCGCATCCATCATGTCCACTATTCCACATTTGCATCAGTTGCAGTTTCAGTTTACACATGTGTTCATTTTCCAGCTGGGTCTGAATTGTGCGGTTGCAAATTTCATTTTGATGTCATTGGATTCGAAGAGTTGGCATTTCTCATTTTACGTTTCGTTTTGGCGCTGACGTTTTGCGATATGGCATTTCTCTTGAGACCCTCACTACTCTACCAACGTAGTGTAAAGCGTAGGCATCATTGGGCTTGCCCAATGTGTCTATGCGGAACTCTGCGTTGGTCGGGTGGTGGTGGGGTTGTGGAAGGTCTCTTGCCAAGTTGGAAGTTCCACTTCTAAACTTCCTTCCTTTCGGTCCAGTTGGACATTCTTGCAATTCACTGGCAACGTTTATTTCTTCAGGCTGATGACGTTTCAATTCGGATGTCTTGGATTTTCAGTTTTCGAATTGGCAGTTGCTTTCCAGTGCGTTGAGTTCTTTTCAGTCGCTGCTTCATTTTCGATGTGTTGATTTTCTGTGCTGTCATTTTCACAGTTTGATTTGATCTGCTCCTGAATGTCTCGACAGTTCATGGTTTTACGATTCAAGTTTATTTTCAGTGATGTGGCATTTCGACAAATTCTTGCAGGTTCACTCAAACATTGCGTTGTCACTTCATTGGAGTTCAAGGTCATTACGTATTCTCTGAAGCTCTGGCTTTGAAATTTTCTGAAGGAGTCAAAAAGACCGCACCCATCATGTCCACTATTCCACATTTGCATCAGTTGCAGTTTCAGTTTACACATGTGTTCATTTTCCAGCTGGGTCTGAATTGTGCGGTTGCAAATTTCATTTTGATGTCATTGGATTCGAAGAGTTGGCATTTCTCATTTTACGTTTCGTTTTGGCGCTGACGTTTTGCGATCTGGCATTTCTCTTGAGACCCTCACTACTCTACCAACGTAGTGTAAAGCGTAGCATCCTATGTTTCTTCCTCTACATGGTGGACAAGGTGATGGCTATGTGGTATTCTGGCTTGGTGCAGCTTGCAACGATGTGTCTTTGCAGTTTTTCCTGGACAAGGTCTACAAGCAGAGCAATGGCAAGCATGGCCCTGAGCTGGATGGCATCTATGCCAATGGCGCTGGCACAAGAACTACGAGGCAAGGAGTTGCAGTTTGGTTTGATGGCAGTCATCTTGGTTTGCATCACATGGTTTCTGGCATTGATGAACAGAAATTGGATGAGCAGTCAATGGATGAAAACATGTCAGACTTCACGAGTGACACGTTTAGAGAAAAGATGTGCTGGCAGAAAGCGTTGCAATGAAAGACGAAAGTTGATGGCTGTGATTTTTCTTTGCAGTATTGGACATGTTCATGCAATGGAGCAACAACAAGCAATGCTGGAAAGAGTCGTGGCATTAGCTGAAGCTGCCACACGAGCAGCTGTAGCAGCTGAGAGAGGAACAGCCCAAACAGGGCAAACAGCAGCAACTGTAGCCAAAGCAAGTTCAAGTGCAGTTTCAGATGGACTGCAGGCAGCATCAAAGGTGCTCAAGAATCCCGACACATACAGTGGAGAAGATGCAATGGGCTTTGCATCATGGCATTTCCAGTTTATGTCATGGTTGACATATGGTGATTCAAGGTTTATTCAAATTCTGGAAGCTATAGAGGCCAGGGAGTCAATGCCAACAATGGCAAACTACAATGAAGGTGAGAAAGAGATGGCTCACAAGTTACGCTGTTGTGACAAGCTATTTGCGTGGCCGATGCGCTCATTTGGCCAAGGCGCATTCAAAGACCAGAGATGGTTTAGTTACAGTTGTTTGGTATAGTTTGATGAGAGAGTTTGAGCCTAGCTCAAGACGGAGGAGCTTGGCGCTAGCACAGGCGTTGGCGTCATATCCAACATTTCCCAAAGACCGATCCTGTATGGATGCCATATTGATCTTTGAGGAGACAATTCAAAGGTTTGAAGAGTCCTCCAACACCAAGTACCCCGATGAACTCAAAATAGCCACTCTACTTCGATGTTCCCCTGCAAAACTCAAAGAGCATCTTCAGCTCACCTTGGATGACAAGGCGACCTACAATCAGGTCAGAGAGCAGATCCTCAACTTCGAGCGTGTGTCGAAGAGTTGGGGCCATGAAACAGTGTTGAAGTCTATCCATGATGCCAACAAGGGCGTTGCCGATGGACCCACACCAATGGAGGTAGATAGAGTTGAAGGCAAGTCCAAGGGCAAGGGGAAGAAAGGCAAAGGAAAAGGTAGTTGGAACATACCTTGGGGTGCTGGTCGTGGCTTTGGTGGTAGAAGTGGAGGAAAAGCAAAAGGCAAAGGCAAGAAAGGACGTGGAAGAGGCAACAACAAAGGAGGAAAGTCAAAGGGCAAGAAAGGAAAGAGCAACGATGGTCAGAAAGGTAAAGCAGCAGGTCACAATCAATGCAAAATCTGTTTTGGCTATGGTCACTGGAGTGGAGAGTGCCCACAACGCATGGATGTGAACAACGTGCAGCAAGATACTAGCTACACTGGCTCTCCAGTCAACAACAATGGAGCTTCGTCGTCTTCAGCGTATCGACAAGGTCAAGGTGAACAGTCTCCAGTGCAACCGAGAACAGGAACAGTGCGCAGAATTTTTCACATCACCCCTTCCTCATCCTATCCTTCTTCTCCTGCATCACCAGCTTCAAGTAGGCATGTGAGAATGGTTGAATTTCTGGATAGCTCAGATGAAGATATGCATGTGAGAAAGGTGACCGGTGAGGAATGGATTATTTTGGACAGCGGTTCAGATGTGAGTTTGCTTCCTGCAAGGTTTTCAGTGGATGGTAACACAACTGCAGGTACCAGTTTGCGAAACTGTCAAGGTGGAAAGCTCAAGACACGTGGCACTAGATACACAGACCTTCAAGTGCGTGACGTTGAAGGTGAAGAAGTTCTTTTGCGTCATGAGTTTATTGTTGGTGATGTGACTACTACAGGTTTGGTTTCGCTTGGGCAGTTGTACCAAGCAGGTTGGAAAATTGATGGTGAAGGCAGCAATGAACTTTTCCTGATAGATCCACAAGATCAAATCAAAGTGCCTGTGTATTTCAAGAAGAAATCGTTTGCAATTAGAGCGTTTGTGCGTCATGTTGAAGAACGAGAAGATGATGGTGACTCAGATGTTTCTTCTTTTCATGTGCGTACTATAGTTCAAGTGTTTGAAGAAATGGAGCTCTGTGATTTCAACACGTGGCAGATGACCGAGTCTGGAACACCCTACATCAAGAATGTGGGGAACAGCTATGTTGATCCCCGACCAACTTGGGGACACTATTGGCCTTTCAGAACAACTCTAGTCAGAAGGACAAACACCACCGACAGGTGGACATTGGTGGAGATGACCCAACGTTTCATGGACAAGGATGAACCATTTGGATTGATTGATGAGTGCATATTCAACATGGACGGCGAGTGCGAGATTCTCACAATTCTTGGAGTTGAAGAACATGGATTTGAAGAGTTTGGAGATTTACTAGATGAAGATGAAGAGGTGGATGGACCACTTCGACTTCCTGACTCACAACCCCAGGAACAACAACCAGCAGTTCCAGTTGAACAACGTCAAGATGTCTCTCAAGGTGCAGTTTCAAGTGAGGCTATTCAAGTGCGTGAACCTCCAGGTCTTTCTCTACAAGATCCTCTTGGTGGAGAAGAACCTGCAGCAGCTTTAGCAGATGTAGCTTTTCCTGAAATTGAATCTGTGGAATTGGACGATGGTTTGATTTTGACATGTGAGTCTCCAGTCAAAGACTTGCGAGCGGGTTGTCGTTTGCTGGGAATTTCACAAGCTGGATCAAAAGGATCAAGAAGAGCTATGTTCAAGGTATGAGACGTGCAGCAATTGACATGGCAAGAGCAGAATATCAACGAGAAGAACATCCTGCACAACCAGCACACCTAGCAGCTCGTCAACCAACTCAGCGTGAACGTTCTCTCCATGAATTGACTCACCTACCCTACAGAGATTGGTGTCCGTTTTGTGTTTCAACTCGTGCTCGAGGTGACTATCATGCAAGTCATGCTGACCCTGATCTTGCAGCAGAACGAGATCGACCCACAATCCAAGTTGATTTTTACTTTTGTGAAAATCGTGACAAGTCAGAAGGTTCTCTTGGGGTCAAGCCAATTTTGCTTATGGTGGATTCATGGACAAGATATGCACATGCAGAACCTATCAAACCCAAGAACGCCAAGACGGTTGGAAGTGCAATTTCAAAATTTGTTGGAAGTCTGGGTTATGTTGGTGCGGTTGAAGTTTGTGGAGACAATGAGAATGTTTTGGTCAGTGGCATGGAATTTTTCAAGCAGGTTAGAGCTCGTCAAGGCTTTAGCACGACAGTCACGACCAATCGCAACTACAGCAAGGATCGCACTAGCATTTGTGAACGAACAATTCAGACTGTCCGCAATTTGCAGAAGACACTGGTAATGCAACTGGAGGAATCAATCAAGTGCAAGATTCCGCAAGGACACGCAGTTCTTTACTGGGCGGCAATGCACTCCACTTGGCTCTACAACAGGTATCATACTCACAGTACCACAAAGATCACACCATACCAAGCTGTGAATGGACGACCCTATCACAACAGAACCGCTTGTTTTGGACAGGTGACATATGGACTTGATCCGAAAGGTTCCAAGTATCGACCTACCTGGAAGAAAGGGATATGGTTAGGAAAAGATGTTTCTGATCATGATGTTCTGGCTACAGCAGCTGGCACGATCACAAGGACAAGGTCAATTCGAAGAACAGCGCTTACATGGTCTGCAGATTAGATTTTGAGTTTGGTGATTGGACCGTGAGACACCACGGGCTACACGCAGTCAAAGGTGAAGCAGAAACCAGTTTTGGCTTTACCACCGAGACCATTCTTTGATGAAGAAGCAGAAGCAGTCAAGGGACTTCAAGACTCAGATGACGAACGTGAACAAGCTCAACAAGAAGTTCAGTCCAATGCATATGAGCCCACAACACCCGATGGAGAAGGTCCTCGACTTGAAGATGTCACAGAACGAGATGATGGTCGAGTTCCTGTTCCTTCTCTTCCTCCTCTATGTGCAGTACCGGTTGATCCCGGAATGGAAGCACCACAGACGCCAGAAGAGATGTTGATGTCTGGCGCAGGTGGGGCTAGTCCTTCAAGCCCTACAATGGATGTAGACTCATCAGGTCATGCAGCATCCAAACACAAGGCAGAGACTCAAGGTGGCACAGTAGCAAAAGCTTTGAAGTTTGATAGCGACCCAGTTCCAGAACCAAAAGTCAAAGCGGCAAAGATGGACGTTAGACCTATTGGTGAAGTGGAGATCACACACAATGATGTGATTGGTTTGGAAGATGACTGGGAATTTCTTCCTTATGAGGACGTAGACTCAGAGGATGAAAGTATCAACAAACGTCTTGAAGAAGACGGCCCACCTACAGTTTCTCCTGAGAAGCTTGCGGAGTTGGATGCGCAAGCAGCTTTGGATGAGGTTGCCAAGTTGTATGAAATGCACGTGATTGCACCAGAAGAGATTGATGTGAGAACAATCCCGAGCCACAAGCTCGACACCACTATTGCAAGTGATTGGCGCTACAGAGAGAGCAAGTGGCGCAGAAGATGCAGGATAGTAGCAAGAGAGTTCAAGTCCGACAACACAGACGAGAACAGCTTTGCACCAACCACAACCTTTGGTGCAGTTCGTATTCTCCTAGTCCTCAGCATGGTTTTCAATTGATGCTCACTGGAATTGACGTGAAAGATGCTTTCTTGTGTGTTGAACAGCAAGAAGAGATGTTTGTGGTAATCCCTCAATGGATCAGAGATCTATCTCCAGAAGACAGGTTTACAGTTTGGAGATTGAAGCGTTGTTTGCCAGGACAACGAAATGCAGCTTTGCGATGGTTTGAATATTTCTCCAATTTGTGTCAAAGTGCTGGAATGGAATCTTACAAGGGATGTCCCACAATCATGAAGTTGGTAAACAATGAGAGACGAGTTTATTTGTCAGTACATGTGGATGATGTGCTGTTGGTTGGAAGCGAAAGAGATTTAGAATGGTTCAAGAAGGAAGTTGCTTCCGGTCTCACGATCAAAGTTGATGGTCCTCATGCACAAGGTTCAGGTGACACGATGTTTTACCTCAAGAAGCGTATTACACTTTTGCCTGAGGGAATTTTGGTGCAGCCCAATGGTACCTATATTCCCAAGCTCATCAACATGTTGAAGATTTCTGGCAGAAGAAAGAAAGGTCTTCCACATCATGCGGTTCTCGAAACATACAACTCAGAATTTCCAGAGCAAGATGTGCTCACAGGCGAAGAAGCATCGTTGTTTCGTTCAGCCTTAGGTTTGATTCTCTATGTTTCTCATGACAGGCCAGATATTTCGTTTGCGACAGACGCTGGCTACATGGATGTCCTACCCTTGCATGAAAGCGATGGCAGCTCTCAAGCATTTGGCCCTGTACTTGTCAGGAACAGAGCATGTTGGTGTAATGTTGAAAAAATGTGAAACCTATGAGGATGTGTTTGACCGATGGATTGAAGCAGATAAATGGAGCGACGTGACAAGAGAACAGAGAAAAGACAGAGCGGTTTTCAACTTTGATATCTTCTCAGATTCATCATGGGGAGATGATCGTTCTACCAGAAGATCAACAAGTTCATGTGTCATGTTTGTGAATGGTGCGTATATCTCAAGTTTCAGCAGAACACAACCAACAGTAGCACTCAGCTCATGTGAGGCAGAACTGTATGCAGCAAATGCAGCAATAGCAGAAGGTTTGTTTCTAGTTCGAGTGTGCAAATTTCTTTGTGGTGATCAAAAGGATGAAAACAGTGGTGAAGTGAAAAGTGAAATTGCATGTTGACTCATCAGCAGCGATGGGTACCATTCAAAGAGCAGGATTTGGTCGAATGAAACACCTTCAAATCCATCATCTATTTCTTCAAGATCTCTTGCGGATGAAAGTTTTCAGTTTGCACAAGATCAGCACAAAGATGAATCCGGCAGATCTGGGAACGAAAAAGCTAGGATTAGAACGTAGAAAAGATCTCCGGCGACCCATTGGTATTTTCACTGGTGAAGATGAAACGTCAAGACGAACAGAAGTTTTGCAGACAAGAAGAGTTCAAATGATATTGATGACAGCATTTCAAGCAGCAGCAGCATCACTTTTGCAGGGATGCTCTTCTCCATCTTCCTTCCTGTCAGGCCCATCAAGTACTTCTCCTACAGCGACCTCTATGGCAGAGATTCGCAGCGGCATGGTGCTTGGTGGAGTGTTTATGCTCATGATGGGCATGTTGGTGATGATGGTTCCCGGTGCAGCTTCAAGATCACGAAGCCGTGATGATCCACAACCAGAATATGCGAATGTTCAACAGTGGACAAGTGAGATGAGAAATTTCTTGGCTACGACATTTGTCTTGTCAGCCAAAGCATACTGGATTGATGGACAGCATGATCAGTTCTCAATTGAGAACATGTTCAACCACTTGCGGCTTGCAGCTTTGCTTATGAAGAACGATGAGAAAGAGGCTGTGGAATACTTCATTACAGCGGTTGAGGTGAACGACCCCGAGGAGATTATGGCTCAGGTGAGAAATATGCGAATGTGCATGGATCTTCCTCATGTTAACCTCCTTCACGCCGAGGCTTGGCTATGGGAAGAATTTCGTGATGATTTGCAGCGAAAAGCAGATGTGAGTGATGGAGCTTTCTTTGTTCCAATTGTGGAGCTTTTGAAACATCGATGGGATACACCTCCGGGAGAAAGTGATCGCGGAGGAGATGAAGACGCAGCATCTTCGAGGAGCTCAATAGCGAACAGAAGTGGAGATGAAAATGTTCGGGAATCACCAGCCCGCGAGTTTGAGCTCAGGATGACAATGAATTTACCAAGATCAGAAGCAATTCAAGTAGCTCAGACAATAGCAGATGCACATGGACGAGAATTGGTGGTCGAAAGACCAGCTGGACCAGATGAACGTGAACATGGAGACAGAGATGGACAAGAACCAGAGCCTGGGAGCAGCAACAACACGCTTGGAAGAAGCAGTGAGAACACTACTCTGAACAGCAGAACTACTCAGAACACCACAGAGGAGGAGAATGACAAGATTGAGCAAGCTATGGCAGAAGCGAGAGCTAGCCTACGTCGTGGGATTCGTGTCTTGCAGTCGCGCGCTACGCGCTATGAAGAGTTGGGCGACCACGAAGCCGCAGAAGAAGTTCGACGTCAGATCGATGATATGGAAGCAATGGAATCTTCAATTTGAGGATAGCAATCAGCGCATGTGGCAGCTGTGGTGAAAGCAAAGTGGTGACGCAATCAGTGCATATGAACGTGAGAGAGGCAATTGCATGTGAAACAGTTTTTCCGCTAACAACAACCTGCGGAACTGTAGAATTTACAAATGTAAGGTGAGGTGCGACTATGTGCCAAAATTTGCAAATGCAAGGACTTTTGGCAAGGTGGGGTGTAAAGATATATCCACTGCACTCACCCATGTCATGTCATGCTCAGTTGGATGTGTAGTATCTGTTCTTATCAGTGTGACAGTTGATGCATGTCACAGGTCTGCATAGGCCACTGCGCAAGGATGACACGCCACTGGATGGTGGCTCAAGGCTCAAGCAACGCGAGAGGAAACAACTGAGAGTGTTTAGAAGTGGGCCGCCGTGTTTTGAGACATTCCATTTGTACCTACTTTGCCTACATTTATTTTCCAAATTTACATGTATATATACTCATTTGAATTGTTTGTAAAAATATATGTATACTTATATCTGTATCTATACCTGCAATACTTATAGCTATACCTATAGCTGGCTATAACTATATGTAAATTGATACCTATGAATATTTGTATTTACAAAATGGCATGTGTGGTTTGCAATTTTTGGCAAAATGGGCACGTTGTCCAGCTGCTTGTGCATCGCGAATCTTTCGATTTTGGATGTAAAATTGTAAACACCGTTGGGTATGAACACCGTTGGGTATGGCCACCGTGTGGATGGTAGTTGATGTGAAGTGTGAAGTGTGCATGACTGTTGCAATTATTCAGTTTGTTGGTTACAAAAAATGTGCCATGTCCGGTGAGGTTGCTTGCAAACCCATTGGATTTTGACGTTGGGATGGCGCAAAAAATAAAATCCAGTTCGAACATGCACATGAATGGAAAATGATGCTCTGTTTGGTCGTCATGTTTCCGGTGGGTCGCCATGGCCCAGAATGCGCTTACCACCAGAAGCAAACAAACGTATTTGCCAGGCAGGATCATTGTGTATATTTTGACAGTTTTGTACTCAGATATGATGGTGGCTTTTACTTTGTTCCAACAGAAAGTGCCGACTCAAAACACCATGTGATGAATTAATTTTGAATAAATTTTCATTGGGTATACACAATGCTGTTGAACATTGTCTGTCGTTGCTTTGAAATTGATTGGATCTATGCAGAGAAGAACGCCAAAAATGCACGTGATCATTTTGATTGGGAGGACCGCGGTGATCTTCCTTGCCGGAAAAACAGATTCCAGGCACGCCACAGAATATTGTTTTGCTTCTGGTGGAGGGGCGGCGCACCTTTAGAGGTTTGATATTCCGAATTTTGATTGAATCTGTCTTGCAGAACCACGGCAAAATTATATATATATAGTGTTGCTAAACAAATTATTTTGCAGTGAATGTTTTTAGGTGTAAACAAATGTTCGAAGATGTTCTCAATGTCATTGACCCATGTTATTCTCGTGATTCACATTGTCGTGATTGACCCAATCATAAACTCAACACATGCAGGCGATCGCTGTGTTTTGCGGCATTCCACAGCAATTCTGTCACTAGGGCAGCTTCGTCCTGGTTTGGAGGTGTGATTTTTCGAGGGTTGGCGCCAAAAATGTTTGCCTCAATGATCTTTTTGCAAACGTACATGGGCACTTCACTGATTGCAGATGGTTGCACAAGTTGGGTTTTAAATGCATTGCAAAGTGTTTGCGTAAAACAATGACTTGTTATTGGGTTGACAAACAAGTGTGCCACAAATTCGAATCGGCATTACAATATCATTCTTTGAAAACCTGATGCCATATTTTGCTCAACATTGGAATTGAAACCAATTTTGGTGCTGACATTGAAAGGTCTTTTGATATCTCTTTCACTTCGCGGGAAACGATGGAAAACAAACACGAAGGCTGGCCATGCGTGTTGGAAGGTTTGTTTTTGAAGGGCAAATTTGCATGTGTTCTTTCTTGAATCTTGTTTACTGCATATTTTAAATGTTTTTTTGTCGTCGTTATTTTTTGTTCATTTTCTTTTAAAACTGACTTTGGTTTTCTGGTTACGGCCATTAAGTTTTTATTTTTCATGGTTCCTGGTTCCTTTGCCTCATTTGTGTTGTATGAAAACACATCAATGAATCCAGAAGAAAACGTGCAAATTTTCCAGCGCCTAACAATTTACATCGGGAACAAACACAAAAAAAACAATAAATTAAAACATCATCAATTTGTGGCAAATGCCTTGAGAGGTAAGTTGGCGTTGCGTTTTCACCCAAATCTTTTCAGTGCCACATTAGCAACAACAACAACAACAGCAACAACAGCAAACGCAACCGTGACGTTGACAACAGCGGTGACGAAGACCAAAATCACAACAGCAATGAAAACAACACAACGACAACAGAAGCAAAACAACAACAACAACAACAACAACACCAGCAACAACAACAACAACAACAACTAAAAAAACAATTCCAATTTCAACATGTTACCTTAGAGCGGAAGAAAATACCATCCTCCTGCTTGTATTTCTGTGAACAGTTTTGTTACTCATTTTCGTTTGGCTCTCGCGTTCCAATCTTTTTTCCAAATAGTATTGTGAAGATTGAAACTCAGGCCTGCCTTGCTTGTAAGTGATTGCAGCTGTTTGCAGTTGAGTTGCTCTATTGGATGGCAACGTGGATAGCTGCGATAAAGGAATTTCCGCATGTGTCAGACTGTCAGACACAGAAAGTGCGCAATAATGGGGCTTGATTGACCAGTGTTGGAAGTGTCTCTTCGACCTTTAGCTGAGAAAACAAAAGCACGCAAAACACTTATATACGTTCATTCATGTGTATGCGGCTGTGCGACGGTCTGTATTGGTGGGTCTGGAAGGTTTCTTTCGAAGGAGATAGTGTAGTTCAGATGGGCACCGGAAGCTACACATCGAAAGTAAACTGCTCCCACGGCATAACACTGTTGCCATCCTATCATACTATCTGACATGACAGGTGTGCGCCGGCAAGGAAAGATACAGCAATCTGCCAGATGAGATCATGAAAGCTGCAGCTTGATCCGGATCAGTCTGAAAATTGCTCAGATTTCTATTGATTTCAAGTGAATATGTGAATAATTATCAAGGCCTTGATTTGTTTCTACTTTCAGTGTGTATCTGCATTCTTTGAGTTCATGCAAGGTCAGCAACCAAATATATGGTGTGGTGGATAGCAATTCTGATGCTGTCACTTTTCTGCAAGGGTTTGTTTTTGCCTTACTGTCACAAGATGCTTTGTGTTTCTCTTCTTGACACCAGCAATGAGATACGCGACATTTTTTTTTTATTGTCCCCTTTCGGATAGAGTGGAAGACGAAGGCCGCGGAGTTGCGACGAAAAAACATCATTTTTTACATCTTTTTGCCGCATAAACCCTGCAATATTCAGAATATCTTTCGCACTTGTGAAATGTTTTCTTTTGTAGGAGTGCAAACAATGGTAGTAATTATGCTGCGCCCTGCTACAAAGGCTGTGTGAGAAAAATCATATGCTGTGCAAAGCATGTTCATCGTGGGCTCTCAGGACCTGTACCACAAAGTTCTCAGCTTTATCAGTGTGAACGCCACCTGGCTACCAGGGTAAAGTACTGGAAGTTTAAGTATTATCAGTTTCAGTCTTTTCGCTTTCTGAGAGTTGGAGAGGTCAAGGATGCAGGGACCAACGTGTTTTTGCATATGCAGCATCAACATTTTTTTTGTTTTAAACAACATTATATATCAGGTTAGACCTTGCTGCTAGCTGCTAATTTTCGGCAACACCAGTTCGGTACCCGTAACAAATTTTCTGCCTTACTCTGAGAGTTTGCAATCAGACATTCCTGATTCGGCTTTCATAGGCTTTCATGTCCACTGGCCCTCCATGACCTTGACTTTGCTATCTTTGCTGAGCCCTTGGCTTTGCAATCTGTCATTAGATTCGTTCCACATCGTTCCACCTCTTTGTTTCAGGGCGTCGGTGAGTCCTGGGAGATTCGACAGGCTTTGATTTGGGTAAAGCAGTGGAAAAAACATGTAAGGAATACTGTAAGGAAAGTGTTGCGTCAACGCTTCCAATTCGAAAGGCACTTCAGACTTGTTTGGATCCGAATGAACTTTGGTGAAGGATCATCCTTGCGTACTCTGAAAGATAAAGCACAGTGAAACGATGAGTTGTGTTGGAGTCAACTCGCTCAAGGACAACTATCAGGATTTTGCTTTTCAGGTTCAGCAAACTGCAAACATGTGCAAAAGGAGAGCATTCTGAAAAGCAAAAGGAGAGCATTCTGAAAACATTCTGCCAGTCTGCAAATCCCACTGGAGCGTGCGAGGCTCAGAGTCTTCTCTGCACTTCCATCTATTTCCACAGTCTCCTCATGGTACCCCCTCATCTCAGAGCACTGCTATATCTCCAAGTCGAGCCTTTCGAATTTTTCGAATATTTTTTTCAGCTTTTCGTGATCCACAGCTGGTGTAAAGCAGCATCGCCAGTCCTTGGATGGGCAAGTGCTCTTGGATTTGTTGCACGGTTCAAGTGCTCTTAGATTTCACCAAACTTAATAAATCAGGGCTGGCCTGCTGCCTTTACCGCCAGTCCTTTGGGGCAACGATTCGGAGGGTAAGTGGAGTTCTTCCCCAGGAATTACTTGTGTCATCTTGTGTAATTGATATAGTCAAGGAAAGAGGTGGTGCCGTTGCCGTGGTTCTAGGGAGTTGCGTGGAGGGGTGACAGTGTCTGACAGTGCAAGGTTTGTTTCCAAGACTTCATGCTGGGCTGTTGGTGAAACTTTCTGTTTGCCAAATTGAGACGTTCGGGATCAGATCTTCCTGTAGTGCCAGTGTGGAAATTTGTTGTGATGATCATGGAATCGGATGATGCCACAATGCAATAATCTGGTGTCAACACATGCACAAGATGAGGTGTCTCTGAGTTGAACTGGACAAAATGAGCGTTTTGAGCCAGACTCCTTGCTCTTCCTTGATGCGATACAATGCCCTTCCAAGTTCGTCCTGACATCTTCCCACCAATGCACCTCCGGCAAAGCTGCCTTTGCACAGGATATATGTATATATATACATACAGTATATAGTGTATATTTGAATATAAAGCAGATCACACGCACGCAGGCATACACACACATATATATATATATAATTTATATATATATATATATACACAAGATATTTAGAATTTGTTTTGTTCACCATTTTTGCAGGGCGAAAATTACCTTTGCAACTTTCCTCGCCGGAGGGAACTCACTGCGCAGCCTGGTCTTGGATGGCACCTGAGTGATTGGAAAGGCCGCTGAGATGAAGATAGAAGAACCTGAAGACTCACTGAAGTTACTGAAGTTATGTTCTTCGATATTCTTCGATTTTTGCTTGCTTTTGATTCGAGAGACGATGGTCATTTTGTTCATTCAATGCGCAGTTCAGCCAAATCAGCTTGGCGAGTATCGGGGTTGCAAGGGGGCATATGAGTTCTAAGGGGTTAGCATTTACACAGTGAGTAGGTTTCATCGGTTGGTCTAGGTCCTAAAGGTAGTATGTGAGGTAAAGTGATGAATCTACAGGAATATGTGCTGTGTATAGGCAATATCTAGGCAGTACATGACATTATAGGCCATGTGGATAGTACATATAGGTGCTACAAAAGGAACTAGACAGGTACTATAGTCGAGGTGGTTTGTAGGCTATAGAAGAGATTTTGTTTTCGCCGCATACGGAATTCGACTGTTTGACCGGCCGCTGCTTAACAGTAAAAGGGTATTTAATAGTTTTATAATTGGGATAGTGTAGAGACAGTAGGCATGAGGGAAGTAGGAAAGGTTGCCATAGGTGGTGGTCAACAGGGATGGAGGGGTGCAGAGGATTGGGGGGTGGGGTTGGCTATACCCTGGGGGGCTTCAGGTTAGGACCAAGGACCGCGAACATATACCGCGTTTTTTTTTCTTTGTAAAGTTCTGTAAAAGTCTTAGCATCGCTTACTCACTGCAAGTGCCCGAGGTCAAAAGATTCGCAGCCTTCACTTTGAGCAGGGACAGCGGAAGGTTGCCATCTTCATCGAAGGAGGCTGGATCCCACACAGTCACAGGTCAAGGGGCATCTCTTTGCATGAACAGAGTTGGATCAAATTGAATCCCTCACAGTCTCAAACGTCTGCGAAAATTTCTCTAATGTTTCTCAACTCCGGTTCGGAGCACCTCTACATCAAGCCTCCGCACGGAACCTTTTCCATATTTTTGCGTTCTTCCGTATTCTGTGGTGTTGCAATGTCCGTGACGTTAATACAAGTGGCAGATAGGCAGATAGGTAGATAGGTAGATAGGTAGATAGGTAGATAGCTCGGTAGGTAGATAGATACTGAAGGTCGCAGGTAGGTAGATAGGTAAATAGGTAGAGAGGTAGATAGGTAGATAGGTAGAGAGATAGAGAGGTAGATAGGTAAAGACGTAGAGAAGTAGAGAGGTAGATGGGTAGAGCTGTAGAAATGTAGAAATGTAGAGATGTAGAGATGTAGACAGACAGGCAGGCAGGCAGACAGACAGAGAGACAGAGAGACAGAGAGACAGAGAGACAGAGAGACAGAGAGACAGAGAGACAGAGAGACAGAGAGACAGAGAGAGAGAGAGAGAGAGACAGAGAGAGAGAGAGAGATGGATAGATAGACAGAGAGACAGGTATGCAGATAGATGGATGGATGGATGGATGGATGGATAGATAGCGATAGATAGAAAAAATAGATGGATGGATGATGGATGGATGTATAGAGAGATAGCCCCAGAGAGCGAGTGAGCGAGAGAGAGAGAGAGAGAGAGACACAGAGAGAAAGAGAGAGAGAGAGAGAGAGCGGGAGAGAGAGAGAGAGGATAGATAGATAGGTAGATGGAAAGAAAAATAGATAGATAGATAGCTAGGTAGCTAGATAGCTAGATAGCGAGAGAGCTAGATAGCTAGATAGCTAGATAGATGGATAGATGGATAGATGGATAGATGGATAGATAGATAGATAGGTAGGTAGCTAGCTAGGTAGCTGGATATATAGATAGATGGACAATAGATGGATATACCTGGATAACCCATCTGTGCAAAATTATCGCTCGAAATCCGAAACAGCAATAATTATCGCCGGTTGCCTAAATTTTCGCTGTTTCGAGTTTTTTTCGCCGTTTCAGTTTCCACATTTTGGGCTCTTGATGTTTGTTCGCCGTTTCGTCGGGTTTTTTCGCCGTTTCGTTGGGTTTTTTCGCCGTTTCAAAACCGGCAAACATATGCAACATGAGAAACATGCAAAATCTGTTCGGAGGCAGAAAAAAATGCCGTCAGCAATAATTCCTGAAAAGGCAATAATTTTGCATACATTGGAAGACGCAGGTATAGATGCATAGATGGATAGGCAATATTGCCATTTGATCTTGTGTTTCTGCACACCCATGACTTCGAACGGTCTCCTTCTCAAAATGGCGCGGGCCTGTGAAAATACGGCGAACACCGGTAAATATTGGGATTCAAAAGTAGAATTCGGGGATTTGCTGCAGCTTGGAGTTCCGATCCGGAGAGCTACCTCAAAAGTCGGATTCGAGTCGTTTTCGGGTTTCGGGTTTCGGGTTTCGGGTTTCGCTGGTCGAAACCAAATTTAGATGTCGGTTTCGGGTTTCGGGTTTCGGGTTTCGTAGGCCGAAACCAACGTCAAATGTCGGATGTCGGTTTCGGGTTTCGGGTTTCGGGTTTCGTAGGTCGAAACCAACTTCAGATGTCGGTTTCGGGTTTCAGGTTTCGGGTTTCGTAGGCCGAAACCAACGTCGGATGTCGGTTTCGGGTTTCGGGTTTCGTAGGCCGAAACCAACGTCATATGTCGGATGTCGGTTTCGGGTTTCGGGTTTCGTCGATCCAAACCAACTTTAGATGTCGGTTTCGGGTTTCGGGATTCGTAGGTCGACACTAACTTCTGATATCGGTTTCGGGTTTCGGGATTCGGGTTTCGTAGATTAGATTAGATTAATTAGATTAGATAGATTCGATTAGATTAGATTAGGTTAGATTAGATTAGATAGACTAGATTAGATTAGATTAGAATTAGATTAGATTAGATTAGGTAGATTAGATTAGATTAGATTAGGTTAGATGAGATTAGATAGATTAGATTAAATTAGAATTAGATTAGATCAAATTAGATAGATCAGATTAGAAATAGATTAGATTAGGAAGATTAGATTAGATTAGATTAGAATTGGATTAGATTAGGTAGATTAGATTAGATTAGATTAGGTTAGATCTAGATTAGATTAGATTAGACAGATTAGATAGACAAATTGGCTTCGATTATATTAGATTGGATTTGGATTTGATTGATTAGATTAGATTAGATTAGGTTAGATAAGATGAGATTAGAATCAGATTAGATTAGGTAGATTAGGTCAGATTTGACTAGATTGATAAGGTAAGATTAGATTAGATTAGATTAGGTCTGGTTAGATTAGATTTGATTAGGTAGATTAGATTGGATTAGATAGATTAGATTAGATTAGATAAGATTAGATTAGTTAGATTAGATTCGATTAGATTAGGTAGATTGGATTAGATTGGATTAGATAGATTAGATTAGACATAGATTAGATTGGGTAGATTAGATAAGATTAGAATTGGATTAGATTAGGTAGATTAGATTAGATTAGATTAGGTAGATTAGATTAGATTAGATTAGTTTGATAGATTAGATTAGATTGGACAGATTAGTTTAGATTAGATTAGATTAGATTAGGTAGATTAGATTAGATTAGAATTGGATTAGATTGGGTAGATTAGATTAGATTAGATTCGATTAGATTAGATCAGTTAGATAGATTAGCTTAGATTCGATTAGATCAGATTAGATTAGATTAGATCAGATTATGTAGATAAGATAAGATTTTGTTAGATTGGATAGATTAGATTCGATTGGATGGGTTAGTTTAGTTTAGATAAGATTAGACTAGATTAGATTAGATTATAGAGATAAGGTTGGATTAGATTAGAATTACGGTTAGAATCATATTTGATAAGATCAATTAGATTAGATTAGATTAGATTGGATAGGTTTTATTAGATTGGATAGATTAGTTTAGTTTAGATAAGATTAGTTTAGGTAGATTAGATTAGATTAGATAGATTAGATTAGCTTAGATTAGATTAGATTAGATAAATTAGATTGGAAATAGATTAGATTAGGTACATTAGATTAGATTAGGTTAGATAAGATTAGATTAGAATCAGATTTGATTAGGTAGATTAGATTAGATTAGGTAGATTAGATTAGATTAGATTAGGTAGATTAGATTAGATTAGTTAAATTAGATAGATCAGATTAGAAATAGATTAGATTAGGAAGATTAGACTAGATTAGGTAGATTAGATTCGATTAGATTAGGTAGATTGGATTAGATTAGATAGATTCGATAGACAGATTAGATTAGATTAGATTAGATTAGATTAGGTAGATTAGATTAGATTAGATTAGATAGATTAAACTAGATTAGAATTAGATTAGGTTAGGTAGATTAGATTAGGTTAGACTATATAGATTAGAATTGGATTTGCTTTGATTAGATTAGGTAGATTAGATTAGGTAGATTAGATTAGATAGATTAGATTAGATTAGATTAGTTGGAGCACGGCCTTTTGAAGGCCGTGGTGTTTCGTGCACATCGGGGGGTTGGTGTGGGGTGGGGTGGGGTGGGGTGGGGTGGGGCATGTATTAACGTTCATGTGAACTTTCTGGGTAAGTAGAGTCGTCTCTGTGTGTGCCGGTATGTGCGTGCAGACATGGGTGGGGTGGGGTGGGGTGGGGTGGGGTGGGGCAGGTATTAACGTTCATGTGAACTTGCGGAGGAAGTACATTCTTCTCGGTGGATTCGAATACGTACATTGATGCACGGAGTGGGGTGGGGTGGGGTGGGGTGGGGCATGTATTAACATTGAGGCTACGTCATGCTTTGCTCTTGATACGTCATGCTAGGCTCCTGTAAGTTTTCGGGTACTTTTAACTGATACGTCATGCTACGCTCCTGTAAGTTTTCGGGTACTTTTAACTGATACGTCATGCTACGCTCGTGTAAGTTCTCTGGTGCTTTTCACTGATACGTCATGCTACGCTCCTGTAAGTTCTCGGGTACTTTTAGCTGATACGTCATGCTACGCTCGTGTAAGTTCTCTGGTGCTTTTTACTGATACGTCATGCTACGCTCCTGCAAGTTCTCGGGTACTTTTAACTGATACGTCATGCTACGCTCCTGTAAGTTTTCCGGTACTTTTAACTGATACGTCATGCTACGCTCCTGTAAGTTCGTTGCCATGATGCCTGAGACGATCCTGATGATCAGATTTTTGGGTTTCAACATCATTTATTTGTATGAATGTCTGTCTTTGGTTATATTTTGATGTTCGATGCAAGTCAAGGTCCGTTGCAAGGTCGTCTGGCAGGCTGTGCCAACTTCATCGTGACATCGCATGTGGAAATCCAGGTCGGTTGCGAGGTCGTCTGGCAGGCTGTGCCAACTTCATCATGACATAACATGTGGAAATACAAAAAAATGTGGTTTCGCCTGGGCGAAATGCTTGTTTTTTGATTTCATGCACCAGAATAAGGGGTTTTTGGCCTTTAACCTCATATCAAACCATTACAGGTCGAATTAGTTGGGGAGTTCTGAGAAACATCAAAAATGATAGTTTCGCCTAGGCAAAATGCTTGTGATTGATTTTATGCACCAGAATAAGGGGTTTTCTCGCCTTTAAGAACACATCAAACAAAATCTTATTGGCACGACCACATCAAACATTATCCATGACACCCCGTTGATCACAAAAACACCACGGCCTTCTAAAGGCCGTGTTCCTAGTTAGATAGATATATTAGATTAGATTAGATTAGATTAGATTAGTTTAGATTAGATTAGATTAGATAGATTAGATTAGATTAAGTTAGATTAGATTAGATTAGAATTGAATGAGATTAGATTAGATTAGGTAGATTAGATTAGAATAGGTAGATTAAATTAGATTAGATTAGATTAGGTTAGATTAGATAAATAGATTAAATTAGAATTGGATTAGATTAGGTAGACTAGATTAGATAAGATTAGCTAGGTTAGATCAGATTAGATTAGATTAGATAGATTAGATAGACAGATCAGATTAGGTTAGATTAGGCTAGATCTGGATTAGATTAGATTAGACAGATTAGATGGACAAATTGGATTATATTATATTAGATTAGATCTAGTTTTGATTGATTAGATTAGATTAGATTAGGTTAGATAAGATTAGATTAGAATCAGATTTGATTAGGTAGATTAGGTCAGATTCGACAAGATAGATTAGATTAGATTAGATTAGATTAGATGAGATGAGATTAGATTAGATTAGGCAGATTAAATTAGATTAGATTAGGTTAGGTTAGATTAGATTAGATAGATTAGACTAGGTAGATTAGATAAGATTAGATAGGTTAAACTAAATTAGAATTAGATTAGATTATGTAGATTAGATTAGAATTGGATTAGATTAGGTACATCAGATTAGATTAGATTAGGTAGATTCGATTAGATTAGATTAGGTAGATTAGATTAGATTTGGTAGATGAGGTTAGATTAGATGAGAATTAGATTAGATTAGAAAGATTAGATAAGATTAGACAGGTTCAACTAGATTAGAATTAGATTAGATTAGGTAGATTAGATCAGATTAGATAGATCAGATTAGAACTAGATTAGATTAGGCAGATTAGATTCGATTAGGCTAGATTAGAATTGGATTAGATTAGGTAGATTAGATTAGATTAGATTAGATTAGGTAGATTAGATTAGATTAGATTAGGTAGATTAGATTAGATTAGGTAGATTGGATTAGATTAGATTAGATTAGATAGATTAGATAGACCGATTAGATTAGATTAGGTTAGATCTAGATTAGATTAAAATAGACAGATTAGATAGACTAATTGGATTAGATTAGATTAGGTTAGATAAGATTAGATTAGAATCAGATTAGATGAGGTAGATTATGTTAGATAAGATTAGATTAGAATCAGATTAGATTAGGTAGATTAGGTCAGATTCCACTAGATTGATTAGATTAGAATTGGATTAGGTAGATTAGATTAGATTTGGTAGATTAGATTAGATTAGATAGATTAGATTGGAAATAGATTAGATTAGGTAGATTAGATTAGAATTGGATTAGATTAGGTAGATTAGATTAGATAAGTTAGATTAGATTAGACAGATTAGTTAAGACATAGATTAGATTAGGTAGATTAGATGAGATTTGAGTTGGGTTAGATCAGGTAGATTAGATTAGATTAGATCAGGTTAGATTAGATTAGATAGATTAGATTAGAATTGGATTAGATTTGGTAGGTTAGCTTAGATTCGATTAGGTCAGGTAGATTAGATTAGATTGGATAGATTAGTTTAGTGTAGATAAGAAAAGATTAGATTAGATTAGATAGACTAGGTTAGATTAGATTAGATAAATCAGATAAGAATTAGGTTACTTAGAAAGAAAGCTTAGATTAGATTAGGTAGATTAGATTAGATTAGGTAGATTAGGTTAGATTAGACTAGAATTAGGTTAGATTAGGCAGATTAGATAAGATTAGATAGGTTAAACTAGATTAGAATTAGATTAGATTAGGTAGATTAGATTAGATTAGATAGATTAGATTGGAAATAGATTAGATTAGGTAGATTAGATATGATTAGAATTGGATTGGATTAGGTAGATTAGATTAGATAAGTTAGATTAGATTAGATTAGATAGATTAGATTAGAAATAGATTAGATTAGGTAGATTAGATTAGTTTAGATTAGATTAGAATTGGATTAGATTAGGTAGATTAGATTAGATTAGGTAGATTAGATTAGAAATAGATTAGATTAGGTAGATTAGATTAGATTAGATTAGGTAGATTAGGTTAGATTAGATAAGATTAGAAATAAATCAGACTAGGTAGATTAGATTAGAATTGGATTAGATTTGGTAGGTTAGCTTAGATTCGATTAGGTCAGGTAGATTAGATTAGATTAGATAGATTAGATTAGAAATAGATTAGATTAGGTGGATTAGATTAGATTAGAATTGGATTAGATTAGGTAGATTAGATTTAGATTAGATTAGATTAGATTAGGTAGATTAGATTAGATTATATAGAGTAGATTAGGTTAGATTAGATTGGATTAGAATTGGATTTGCTTTGATTAGATTAGGTAGATTAGATTAGATTAGGTTAGATTAGATAGATTAGATTAGATTAGATTAGATTAGATTTGAAGTAGATGAGATTAGATTAGGTAGATTAGATTGGATTAGATTAGATTAGGTAGATTAGATTAGATTAGATTGGATAGATTCGGTTTCGGGTTTGGGGTTTCGGGTTTCGGGTTTCGTAGTTTGAAACCAACTTCAGCAGTCGGTTTTGGGTTTCGGGTTTCGGGTTTCGGGTTTCGGCCGATCCTCAGGAAGCCAAGTCTCTGATCAGAGTCGGTTTCGGGTTTCGGGTTTCGGGTTTCGCGGGTCGAAACCAACTCTGCAGATCTCTCTCCGGATCACGTCTCGCAGCTTGCTATAACTTGCTGCAAGCCAATGCCAGCCACTGAGCCGTTGACACTGGGCAAAGGCGACAAGGAAGAGCTGTTGCACTTCTTCCGGAGCTGCAAGAAACATGGTCAGGACGAACAAGATGCGATGCAGGTTCGCCTGAAAGGAAATGCAACTGCTAGGCTAGACAAGTGAAACATGACGAAACAAGTGTTCATACGGTGTGCATGAGCGTCCAATGTTATTCAGCATCACCGATACTATTTGTTTAGAACTCCTTCAAGAGCATTCCGCATGCCTTGTTTCTAAACTCTGGACAGTTTCTTCATTCTGTGCAAACTGTTTGTTGCATCAATGAGTTCTTTTGACGCCTTTGGAAATACGCACCTCATGTTGCACTCCATCCTTCGCTCGTAGAGTCTTTGCTTCCCAATGCATTTTCAGTAGCCTGCAAGGTCAGACTAGCGTTTGCAGGAACTCCCATTCGTTTGTGGGTTTCTTTTTGCTAAAACCATTTTCACCATCCTGTCTATTGCAAACTTTCTTCAAACAATTCGGGTGCCAATCTTTATGCAGGTGCCAAGACCCAAGTTTTGGGTACAGGAGCTGGTTGAGGCAGCCCTTCGACACTTGGTTCATTCAAAACATCACACATAAAGATTCGATGAGGCAGCCAGACAGATGGGTCTTGGTTCTTCCTTTGTATCAGCTGAGTGCAGCTGCAGGCAACTTCTACAGAAAATGCAATCTGCGGAAATTGGGGCAGGAAATCTGAAATTTTGTTGCGTGTGACATACACAGGTGCTTATTTGAGAGCCAGCCGAGGAGAAGGAGAAGAGACGGAAAAAGATGAGAGCGATAGTACAGAAGACGCAAGATGGAGTGAGCTGAAGAAGGATGAGGCAGTAGAGCCCATTCAGGAGCAACTGCTCCTTGAAACAAGCTAACTTCCCTTGACCCATAGAGTACTGGCTAGGAAGATGTGAGGATTCCGCACTGCATTGAAACTTTTGACTGTCGGCAGGCACTGCACATATATGCTGAACAATCTGAACCCCTGAATTGACTGAATGTACTCATGGATGAAGTTTCAAATGTTTCAATGCATTCCCCACTTCAGCATTCTATCGAATTCTTGCCCGAGAGGCAGACAAACTTGGTGCAAAGAGACTAGGCACGTGTTCCTACTTTGACACTACGTCCTGTATGGAAACCAGTTGGCAGTGGCCAGTAGTGTAGTCTGTCTCCTACTTTGGCAGATTGTTAGGTCTCCTTAGGATGTCTTTTTTTGGGTCAGCTGTTGCTCAAGCCATGAATAGAGCTCTGAAGTGTCCTGTGTCGACAGGGCAAAGCGGGAAAGAATCCCTTGTTGGCAACTGTCTGCCGATGTGATCAAAGAGATGCGAACAAGGTATTCTTATGTATTCTTCTTATATTTTGTTTACGAAAGCTGGAGTCTCTGCAGATGCAAGAACCGACAAACTGCGCTGCCTGTTTTCTATTTTTGTTTTTTTATTATCATTCCTTCCGGTTGCTTGCTTTAGTACTGTAGCTGCTTTCGGGCTAGCCGTGCGCAGTGTCTGAACCCAGTGCTTGGATGTGCTTGGGAGTTTCAAAAAGCTCAATGCATGTAGGGTTCGGGGATTCTTCGTTGCTTCCCAGTCGATTGCATTCTCGGACATCACTACATCAAACATGTGCTGTATAAAATGACTTTGCAGGCGTGGACTTCGATCCTCTAGCGTCAAGCTGACGAGTCGGAACAGTGTTTTAGTGATGTCTTGCACATCTTTTGTACAGGCACTTTGTAAGGTTGCATGGCCAAAAGATGCCAGCTGTCAGCTGAATTTACGATGCCTTAAAACGTGCATACTGCGCACCTGCAAAGCTGGGTGAACAATCGCAATAGCTTTAATGAAGCGACCTTTGATTTATTGCAGCTGCTATGGCGTTGCTGCATTTGACATTTGAATACATCTAATCAAAAGGAGCTGCGCCTGGTGGAAACTTTTGGTACTTTGAGTATCATATTTGCACTCGGATCAACAGCCTCAATAAGCAGCTTGTTGGTTTTCCGCAAGATTGCGAGTCGTGTGATATTCTGTTAACACGCCAAGCAAGTCTTTTGGAATTGGCCAAGAACTCTTGGCTTGGCCGTTCTGGCTCGCAAGCGAATGATCTTTCAGAAAGAAAGAGTCATACATTCGAGGCTTAGGGGAATTGCATGTGTGTTCCAACCCCCTGTTTGTTCTGGTAGCATGATTCTTTCTGGCTTCATCCTGCTTTAGTTCTTCTGCCTCATGCTTTTAAAATCTGATTCTCCGGATTGTTTGCCAACGAACATGTGGCTCTGGAAGAACATGAAGAACATCATGTCGATATCAATGCTGCAGCCTTCAAAGTGCTGTACTTCCCAAGTCGCAAGCCAGCTTACTGGCATTTGTGTCACACCAGGCAGGCCAAGTGAGATAAATTGGGATAACCTGGATCTATCTGGATCTTGAAGCGTTTACTTGAAGGGTTTGATGCACCAAAGCAGACCAAAGCATCAATGCTTGGAGAATTCCTGTTATCCTTGCATGGCAGGTCGAAACTATGCGATACCAGTTGGGTTCATGGCATACACCTTGAGGCCGAACACCACATCTCTCTTAGACTCAGTTCATCGAATTGACAATTGGAGGTTTGCCAACCTTAAGTGCCTCAAGTCTATTTCCTTGCAATGACTTGATTTGGTGGTTGTATAATTCATTGCTTTCCCACGTGAGAACGGAAAACTGCAGCCTGATTGACTTGCAAAGATTCAAGCTTTTGTGGCTTCTACCCTCACCATTCTCGTAATCTTGAAGTCTCCCCAAGAGCTTGTGTGTCATGAAGGAATGCTCTCTTGGTTTGTTTGGAATTGCCCATTGTTGTCCATCCCCCGTCTTTCTGGAAATAGCGCGAAGACTGGCTTGGGATGGAATCTGCTGACATGTGGGCTCACTAGCAGAAACGAGTCAGTGCATGAAGGACCCTAAGACTGGCTCCATGACTAAACATTGAAACAATTTGCAAAAAGGCTCGATGTGCTCAAAGGCTCACTAAAGCTCACTATTGGAACATTAGACACGTCTCTTTCAGGCGCGTCGAGCACTGATACGAATTGACTGGGCCAAGTAGAATGTTTTCTTAGCCTGAGAAGCACCGCCATGGGTAGTGCCTTTGTTTGACCCAAAATACCACTTTACTTGTTTGCTTCTTTCTTAACTTGCTCCAAGCTTGTCTAGAGTTTTGCTTTGCCATGGCTTCTGATGGTGCAGCACCGCCGACAAGTGCTGCGGAGGTTGGAAGTTGTGAATGTCAGTTGCTAGCCACTACAATAGAACAGGGGCTTAAGAGGAAGCAAGCATAAGCAAGCTATCTTAGAAGAATCTTATAAGAGTCTTATAGATGTTGATAGAGTCCATATATAACCGCAAAGGCGGAAGATGATCACCTGTGCAGTTGTCTGGAATTGAATCCATTCTACGAACTTATTTGATTGTGCAACAAAAGTACTTATTTTATTGTGCATATTTGGGCAGATGAAGCAAAGAGTTTGTTTTGGACGTTGTGTCGACCTTGCGATTGACTGCGTGGCATGGCAGTAAAACACATCCGAACACGTGCAGTCACTTCCGGAAGTGCACCACTATGCAACTGTATCGTCAATGACATTCCTACTTACAGGACATACAAGCACATCCACATATGCACAGTCTATATTACACAGTAAATGTAGATATGTAGTGATATGTAATGATATGTATATAATGATATGTAATGACATGTAATGACTGTAATGATATGTAATCATGTGTACTGATGTGTAATGATGTGTAATGATATGTAGTGATATGTAATGAGGTGTAATGATATGCAATGATATGTACAGCAATGATCAAAAGAAGTTTAGTAGTCTGAACTCCGTGTTACGAAATTTTGAAAATGTGGAGAAATTAGTAGTAGTAGTAGTAGCAGTAGTAGTAGTAGTAAGTAGTAAGTAGTAAGTAGTAGTAAGTAGTAGTAAGTAGTAGTAAGTAGTAGTAAGTAGTAGTAAGTAGTAGTAAGTAGTAGTAAGTAGTAGTAAGTAGTAGTAAGTAGTAGTAAGTAGTAGTAAGTAGTAGTAAGTAGTAGTAAGTAGTAGTAAGTAGTAGTAAGTAGTAGTAAGTAGTAGTAAGTAGTAGTAAGTAGTAGTAAGTAGTAGTAAGTAGTAGTAAGTAGTGTAGTAAGTAGTAGTAAGTAGTAGTAAGTAGTAGTAAGTAGTAGTAAGTAGTAGTAAGTAGTAGTAAGTAGTAGTAAGTAGTAGTAAGTAGTAGTAAGTAAGTAGTAGTAAGTAAGTAGTAGTAAGTAAGTAGTAGTAAGTAAGTAGTAGTAAGTAAGTAGTAGTAAGTAAGTAGTAGTAAGTAAGTAGTAGTAAGTAAGTAGTAGTAAGTAAGTAGTAGTAAGTAAGTAGTAGTAAGTAAGTAGTAGTAAGTAAGTAGTAGTAAGTAGTAGTAAGTAGTAGTAAGTAGTAGTAAGTAGTAGTAAGTAGTAGTAAGTGGTAGTAAGTAGTAGTAAGTAGTAGTAAGTAGTAGTAAGTAGTAGTAAGTAGTAGTAAGTAGTAGTAAGTAGTAGTAAGTAGTAGTAAGTAGTAGTAAATAGTAGTAAGTAGTAGTAAGTAGTAGTAAGTAGTAGTAAGTAGTAGTAAGTAGTAGTAAGTAGTAGTAAGTAGTAGTAAGTAGTAGTAAGTAGTAGTAAGTAGTAGTAAGTAGTAGTTAGTAGTAGTTAGTAGTAGTTAGTAGTAGTTAGTAGTAGTTAGTAGTAGTTAGTAGTATTTAGTAGTAGTTAGTAGTAGTTAGTAGTAGTTAGTAGTAGTTAGTAGTAGTTAGTAGTAGTTAGTAGTAGTTAGTAGTAGTTAGTAGTAGTTAGTAGTAGTTAGTAGTAGTTAGTAGTAGTTAGTAGTAGTTAGTAGTAGTTAGCAGTAGTTAGCAGTAGTTAGCAGTAGTTAGCAGTAGTTAGCAGTAGTTAGCAGTAGTTAGCAGTAGTTAGCAGTAGTTAGCAGTAGTTAGCAGTAGTTAGTAGTAGTTAGTAGTAGTTAGTAGTAGTTAGTAGTAGTTAGTAGTAGTTAGTAGTAGTTAGTAGTAGTGAGTAGTAGTTAGTAGTAGTGAGTAGTAGTGAGTAGTAGTGAGTAGTAGTGAGTAGTAGTGAGTAGTAGTTAGTAGTAGTTAGTAGTAGTAGTTAGTAGTAGTTAGTAGTATTAGTTAGTAACAGTAGTTAGTAGCAGTTAGTAGCAGTCAGTAGTAGTAGTAGTAGTAGTAGTATTAGTAGTATTAGTAGTAGTAGTAGTGGGTAGTGGTAGTGGTAGTGGTAGTGGTAGTGGTAGTGGTAGTAGTAGTAGTAGTAGTAGTAGTTAGTAGTAGTAGTTAGTAGTTAGTAGTTAGTAGTTAGTAGTTAGTAGTTACTAGTTAGTAGTTAGTAGTTAGTAGTTAGTAGTTAGTAGTTGGACCACGGCTTATAGACGGCCGTGGGGTTTTGGGGGGTTTTGGTGGGTTTTGGTGGGTTTTGGTGGGTTTTGGGCGGGGGGCTGATAACGTTCTTGGCTGCCGGCCTTACAAGATCTTCTCTTGGACTTGCTGCTACGCTATCCACTCTTCTCTTGCACCGTACCCTGCCGCACGCTATCAACTTCTTCTTGTAACTTGCAAGACACTCTTGATTTTTGCATTGTTGTTTCTTGGGGGGGGTTGGGGGGGCTAATAACGTTCTTGCGACTTTCCTACCTTTTCGCGCACCTGCATCTTCTCTCTTCTGCTCTTCTCTTCTCTCTGACTCTTCCCATCTCCGCCTTTCATCTGTCCATATTGTCGGAAGTTTGACTTCTAAACTTCCTTCGAATATCAAACTCTGGAAAACCTGCAGCCGTTCCAGAATCATCTTACCTTCAATGATCGATGCACGTCCAGCCACTTTGTTGCAAAACTTCGCACTGGATGACAATAGAGAATTTTAGTGGTACCCACAGTGGGGTCCGAGTATGATGTGGACCTAAGCCTATCTAAGCCTTCAGGCACACCCAAAAACCATTGAGACTCGGCCATTGCTCCTTTCTTTGGCACGGGATGACCAATTGTGCCAAAAATTCTCGTCATCTATAACATCATTGCTTGAAGCGGCTGTGCCTCAGCAAGTCAACGATCCTTCACAAACTACAAAAAGAGATGCAGCCGCTTGGTCTACAGAGCTTTCTGGCGATGAAATAAAAGCTTTCACCAGAGGATAAATCTCCCAGCAAGGCTATGGGCCAAAACGACGATCCGAAGTTGAATGGGTTTAATACCGGAAGCAACCAAATCGGTTGGTCGGATTCCCTATTGTAAGAGCCATACCCCGCATCTCTACACTTTGCCATGTTGACCCGTGAGTCCCAAATCAATTAAATAAATATACATATAGATATATGTATATATATATATAAA